TTAGGCTAGTATGATGTTGTAGATTGTGTGCAGCTAAAGAAATATCATCGCTTGTGGACAATAGGGCTGTGTCGTCGGCAAAAGTGGCTAATAGTGTGTTGGGAGTTTGTGGAATATCGGCAGTGTAAATATTATAAAGATCAGGCGCTAGATCGCTACCTTGGGGCACTCCTGCAGTGATGCTGAATCGGGGTGAAAAGAAGTTTCCTTGTCTAACAGTGAAACTTCGATTTTCTAGAAAAGATTTGATAACTAAAAATAATTGAGCTGGCATGAATTTTTTTAATTTAAATAATAGCCCGTCGTGCCAGACCTTATCGAAGGCCTGGGCAATATCCAGGAAGAGTCCAGCACAATATTGCTTTTTTTCTAAGGCAGAGGCAATTGAGTCAGTGAGCCGATGGACTTGGTGTATAGTGGAATGTCCTGGCCGAAAACCAAACTGGGTGGAAGGTATGATTTGATGCTCGTGTAGGATGGGTCGAATTCGGAGAAGAATCAATTTTTCGAACAATTTTCCAAGCGTTGGTAAGAGACTGATGGGTCTATATGATGAAGCTAAGTTTTTTGGTTTTCCTACTTTTGGTATAACTATTACGACCGCATGTTTCCAGATGGTGAGAAAATAAGAAAGCCGCAGCATTGAGTTGTAAATATGTGTTAATGAGAGGATACATTTTTTTGACAGGTTTTTTAAGACTTTGTTTGTGATTAGATCATGCCCAGGTGCTTTACGTGCAGGTAATTTCTTGATAAGACAAAAAATTTCGTTGGGTGAAATCGATTTTATAGGAGGAGACATTGGTAGGGGAGAAGAGATAAACTCATTAACTTGGCTCAAGTGTTCAGGATTCGGAAAAATGTCTTGGTGGGGCTTGAATGTATTAGCTAAGTGTTTGGCAAAGATAAGGGATTTTTCTTCGTCTGTTGACGCTAGCAAATTATTACTTTTGAGGAGAGGTGGAATGATTTCTCGGATTTTAGTTAATTTTTTTGTGGCTCTCCATAAAGAATTGGGAGTGGGTTCTAAAGAGTTGATATAATTCTCGTACTGTATGGCTTTGTGCTTGATAAGTTCTTTTTTTAGAAAATTTGATAGGTGATTGAATATTTTTTTGTCGCTAGGGAGACGAGAATTTTGCCATGTAGATCTCGCATTTCTTTTTTTGTTTAAAAGGAGTCGTAAGTTGAAAGGGAGAATGTTTTGGGGTTGTGAATTGACGGGGGTAGGTTTAGTTGAGAAAATAGCTGCTTTTTTTATTATTTCAACTAAGTTTTGTGCTGCATTTTCGACTTGGTCTTGTGTTTTAAGTGAAACTCTAAGATCTATTAAATTGTCAAGATTAGTTTTGAATAAATCCCAAGCGATGGGTCCTTTGGTGAGTGAGGGCCGATCATTTTGTTTAGGTGATCCACCAATTGAGAGAATTACGGGGGTGTGGTCACTGGAGATATGACAGATATTACTGATATCTGTATTTAGATTGTTTGGGATATTTGTTATGAAGAAGTCGAGTATATCTGGGTTACGGTTTGAATGTGAGGGCCAGTAGGTGGGTCCAAGTGGGGACACAAACGACAGATTACAATTATTAAGGACAGAGTGGAGTGTTTTTCCTCTTTGGTTATTGGAGATACAGCCCCATTGGGAGTGCTTAGCATTGAAGTCACCCCCTGCTATGAAATTATGGCCTAGAGTATTGAAGAGACGGAGGAATGTGTCGCGTTGGATGGCGTGACGAGGTGGGCAATATATGGAAGATACTTGTATTGGGATACTATTTATTTTTATTAAAATACTAGTTGCTTGAATAGAGGACTCTTGGAAAGAGGTTAATATATTATGTTGGATGGAGTTGGATACTAAAATACAGGAACCTGCATGTGCTGTTCCATCTGGATGATTTGTTTTATAAAGGGTGTAATTGTAGATACTAAATTTGGTTTTTTCAGTGAAATGAGTTTCTGTTATTAGCGCAATATCTATTTTTAAATCATTTAATACGATTTGAAGTTCATTTTTGTGTTTTGGAAGACCATTTGCATTCCACAGTAAGATTTTTAGCGGAGAAGATTCATTTGGTTGATTGTTAGTCATTTTTTAGGATGATTTTGTTAATAACTGTAGTTAGTAGTGATATTAGGGGATTGATAACTGATTTAAGATCTGATATGAAGAGTGAAAAATGTTTTGTTAAATCATTGATGTTAGTAGCAGTATCATTATTATGTTTGGGGGTGTCATTTTGGTTCGTATTTTTTAAAACATCTGCATAGTTTGCATTAAGATCGGTCTTATTAGAACAATTTGGGGAAGGGTCGTTACCAGTAAGGACTTGAACATTATTTTTTTTTATAAAGTGTTATATTTGATTTTTGTGTATGGCTTGGTTTATTAATTAGTTTTGAGTTGGTATTTTTTTGCTGTTGGTAACTTTTATAAGCTGGGCATCCTCGATAGTTGGCTGGATGGGGTCCTCCGCATAATGTACATTTAGGTGGCTCATCTTTGGGTTTGGGACATTCATTCGTCAAGTGAGAACCGTCACATTTTACGCAGCGAGTCTGGTAGTTACAATAGTGCTTTGTGTGTCCGAAGTTTTGGCACCTATGACATTGCGTTAATTGTTTTTTCGGGCGAGGTTCCTCGAATTTGACTACTGAGTGGCAAATTAAGTTTATTTTGAATATGTCGTTATTATTTGATTCGGGTTCGAGATCTACGAAGAAGAGAGGAAGCGGTTTTTTTGTTTGATTTTGCAGAACGTTTGTAACTTGCTTAACTTTGAAACCATACTTTGACAATTCGTCTTTAATAAAGTCAAGGGGAGTAGACTGATGTAAATTACGGAGTACTACTCGGAATGCTTTTTCGTCTTTGATTTGGTAGGTGTGAAAATTGACTTCTTTCGATTTTAGTAATTGGACAGCTTTTCTGAAGGTATCAGGTGTATTAAATTGTAGTTTGATTCCTGATGTGTTACTCTTGCAAGTAAAATCATCAGTGTCGCAATAAAGTTTAATTGCAGTGCAAAATTTAAGAAAATCGACATAGGATTTTATAAAAATAGGTGGTGGTTTGTGGATTATAGGTTCGGTTGGTTCGGTCGTTTCCATATTATGATCATCTTCGATGTCGAGATTAGCGTATCGATTCGGTGTTATGAAAAAGCTTCCTATGCTTGGGTGTTTATTTAATGGAGATAGTCCAGGTGATTTAGTTGAAGGTCTTTTATTATTTTTAGGTGTAGCGATTACCCAGTCTGTATCAGAAAGTGTGTTTTCGGTTATTGACGGATTGAGATTAGAGTTTGTTTGATTGCGCTTGGTTATAATGATTGGCGTAATAAGCTCGTTAGTGGTTTTAGATAACGGCCGAGCCGGCGATGTCGGTGGTGACTGAGTTTTTTTTTTTTAACATTTTGTTGTTGGGAGTTTATTATTAGTGAATAATAACTTACCCAGATCCCGAAGGATCGAGAGACTGTAGACGTTCTTGAAAAATAGTTTTATCAAAAAGAGATGTGTTAAACGAAAAAGAAACAATGAGAAAAAGTAAGTCGGGTGAAAGATTATTCGTGTGTAGCATGAACAAGGCAAGATAACGCATGAGGCACGATAACGCAGTAAACGTGCTACACTGTCGACTGCCACACGGCAACTAGAAATAATTTATATGATAAAACAGCGTTTGTCGGGTCGGCTTGTAAATTATTATTGTATAATATATTTTATTCATAGCATATTTTATTATAGAAATAGTCCAGTAGACACATATATATATATATATATATATATATATATATATATATATATTAAATAGTCAAGTACTACATCATATATTCTTTGTTCATAAATACAAGATTATACTTTCTATAGGAAATATGTAAATAATGGGCAATATATTATTATATTACTATTATTAACCTTCAATTTTTCAATAGTTTCTTCAAATATTAAAACATTAATCACGCCTGCTGAATAATAGAAGGACAAAGATATACCAAGCAGGCCAGTGATAACCAACTGCCGGATGAGCAGCGGATAGCAAGACAACCAGCAGCAACCGGTATCAGAAGTGCAGCAGTCAACGAATGGCGATGCAACCACTCCTGTCAGCTGGAACCCTCTGAACAAAAGTCCTTAGTACTTCTGCTGGGCACAATAACATATTATTTTTGAGATGTTCTTCTTCTACTCCCCTATTACGATTCACCCACGTGGACCAGTCACTCCGCGAACATCATTAAGGGTCTACCACGATTATGTGAACAGGCGGCCGATTGTGATTCTCCACTTTCCCCCGAAGCTTACGGGTCGATATCAAACTTTTTTTAAAACACCTCACTTAAGTATTATGAAAAGAAAGTATTCGGAACTGGCAGCCGTATCGGTCTCCTACGTGGATATCACGAGTCGGAATTGACTCCTCTGTCCAGAAGATTTTGTAAACGTAGCTTAAAAAAAAAAAAACGTAAATCTCAGAGATATATGCAAATTAATTTATTAATTTATTTCGCAACACGAAGTAGCGCCCGGGAGAGTCCGTGCAACTTTTCATTGGATTTGAATATTGACGCTCTTACGTTTGCATTTTAAAATATTTTTATGTCG